GGAACTACATTCTACCACAGTGCCCAAGTTTTTCACTTATATTAGAAAAAACAGTTCACAGAAGTTTGTAGTTTTCAACTGTTTTGCATTGGATACAATGGATTCTGGACATTTGTGGTAATATTTTACACTGAAAACCACCACAGATTTAGACAGCGTATTTGAAACCTCTAGCCAAATTGAATAATTTCAATGTCTACGGATCCAGTTGACTATGAAAGCGCAACATATTATAATGACTATATGGCTTTTATTTTAAGAGATCTCAGCGTTGGACGAACAAATGATGCTTGATTAAACGCCATATTCTGAATATAGTGGACAAGACTAACACTCGGAGTGGAACTTTATTTGAAAACTGTAAACACGTTTTACTTTTATTTATGCTTGTTGTAAATAGGCTCAAGCTTAACTTGGCCTCAGAAAAAATTGGTAGTCGACCCTTAACTGTATCGCTGGCAATATTTGTTACTACACCTCCGCTTTTCATTCAGACTATGATTTTAGTGAATTGAGTCAAAGTTGATTTTTATCCCTCTTTTCTGGTAGACTCATGTTTCTGAGTACTTATTTGTTGTTGTTTTTTGAAAATTAATTATCACAGTTATCCGCATCCTCCCAGTTCAGGTTTCTGTAAGGTTAGCCATAAAAAACATCCTTTCAATTACACTATGTTAAAAGACACTTTTTTTTCCTTCACGGTGGCCTCATTTCCCAATTTTCATGTGTTGTGCTGTTTGTTCATTCTAAGTTTCTGAACTTACCAATTCGTATGGAGCTAGAGAGAACGCAACAAAAATTAATGTATCCGTTGTATTTTTCCTACTTATATCCCCAATTCATACAGTGACAAATGACTAGTGGTTTAGGATTCTGAAATGATCAGGAAACAGTTCATAAGTCTCTGTAACAAGTACTGTATTCTAGATATCTACACCATAGTTGATACGAATATCCTGAAGAAAATTGAGTATGAAATCTGGTTTAATCTTTAATCTTTCAATATAATTCCCGTGTGTTTGAAGATCAGAACAAGAATTTTCGGGACGTTCGGGTATGTATATCATGGCTTCATTAATAAAATATTCAAAGTTTGATTAGCAATCAGCAAGATATAGTCAAGCAGTACAGGAACATGTCATCTCATATTTTCAAGGAACAACGCACTTAAGTATTCAGTAACATATATACACATATAGTTTGATTACTGAAAATTTTCTGAATATTCTGATAAAAGAGTAGTAGCTCACACAACTGAGATGATATTAAGAGACATGTTCTTATAACAACTGTATTGTACAGTGGACTGTAATCCAACGTCGGTAAACTTCTGCTAATGCAAACCATTTTCGTGATTACTTCATAATCCGTAATGTTATTTATTCACTGTTGGTCAGACAACGTGAAATCAAGAGATTAGATTGAAGGCATACACAATTGTATTGAGATCAGAACCAACTTTGAAATAAAAAAACTAAGCGCAAAGGCATAATAATTTCCATGGAGGATAGAAGTGTTTTAACTGTAATGCTACTTAAATTCCTAGGCTACGGGAAAGTATTATGATGAAGTTTTGTCGTTTAATACGATGGATGTCGGGTTTAGGTCTCAGTGGGAACAGCATCACCTATTGGGATGTAATGGATCCATCTGTTGAGTTTCGAGAGCGATGAGTCGTAAGTGCTGAATCCTCCAGTCAGTCGCTGTCAGTCTGATTATATCATGTGTGGTAGACCAAAAGTATCAAGAAAAAAGCAACGGACATTGTTTAGGTTTTGAGTGTGTATACTTTGAAAACTTTATTAGTAACTACTTTATTGTATTACTCTGAGTTATTTGAGGTATTCAATATCTCTTGCAGTAAGTTCAGGGTCTTGGTCACCTGTGTTTTATGTTTCCCAGATAACATATTTCATGCATTCTGATCGCAAGTATTGAAACAAGCAACAGTTCAATCCTGTTGTGATAAAGACAAATTGTAAACATGTAGACTGTGAACTTTAAATTGACATTTTTTGCTTATTGTAACTGAATGGTGTAACTTATTCTTATCCAAAAGCTGGTTAGGGGAAATCAGCACTGTAGATCGTCATTCTTCTAACCCTTGTGGAAATGTTTCTTAGGTCCATATATGTGAAAACAGATTTACACCATCAAAAGCTATCTTGAACCTATCGTTCATATGTTGGTAATCTCTTTGAAGCAGGAATATTTGAGTGTTCAGATGGCTGATACTCTTATGCAATGATCCAGTTGTCTTTCCACAAGGAGTTTATAAGCGGTCTCCCTGAAGTGACTTATTTATCCTAGGTTCTTAATATCCCGATCAATCAATTGGTTTCAATTTAGGTCACATATCATCCATTTTGTTTTATTCTTTCTGTTCATGAGTTGAATTTCGTACTGCAATGTCGAAATTAACCCTTACATCTAAATTTGAAACCCCATGTTCAATGGCTTGCCTCTACATGAAAGTAATCAAACGTTATTTTTGATGATGTCGTGGGATAAGGACGAGTCAGGAATGCTTCAGTCCAGGCTGATTAGTCGAATTCGTTACACGAAGAATCTGAGGCATAGCATCTTCATCAGAACTAAGCGACGGAAAACAGACAGGTATCATAACCTATAAGCGTAGAAAAAAGTGTCCTGGTGTTCAAAATGACGGGGGTTAGTTTAGTCCTAGGCCAAAACAACAAGAAGTAGAGCTTCATACTACTTACTGAATTCATATGGAGTGTAGGATGTTTCGTTTAATTCTTTCCCTATTATCGATAGGAAGTAATCACACCTCACTTCACTTCTGTCTTTCTTTCACTAGTTTATCTTTCTGATTCACATCAGAGAATTATATATTACATCTACCACAGAAACTAATATTTAACAGCTTTAAAATCATTAGTACATATCTATCAGAATCGATCGATTATTCTGACTTAATCAACCAACCACTCAATATTTACCATTGTAAATTAAATGCTGGTTGTTACCAAGCCATGATAAAGGGAACAGAGAAGGCTTCTGATGTGAAAACTGCCAATTGTAAGTGTAGTGGGCGCTGTTGCTCAGAATGGATATAAGTAGTATATGTTGAGAGGGTGGCAGAAATCATAGGGAATTACCAGCAATGGGTAATTATTCTGCCCAGAGAAACTCAAGAGACAATATGAGCGTATTAAGAGGAAGTCGGGATAGAAGCAGAAGGGGAAATGAAGCATGTTGTGCAAATGACTATTTTAGTGGAAAGTGTGCAATATTTGATGACTACTGTATAAGATATCAATAATAAACATTCTTTCCTGAGTCTCACCCTTGTCGTTTCTTACATAAATACAATAATGAGATTCAACATTAATCTGAAAATTGAACATTAGGATCACATGTTCAACTCCAAGCCTACTGTGCTCTATCGGTTTCGAATTGTCAACGACAAGGGTACTAAAGCCTTCACAAAAGTTGAGGCTGACTAAATCATGATATTAAATCGACAAGGAAATGCTAAGCCACTAGGATAACGGTTATGAGTATTTCAAAAAGTTGTATCCATTTTCACTAGGTAGTCGTTAAAGAAACGAAGTTAACTTACTGTTGCCATTGGACAACAGGATATATCTACATAGAATTCACAACAAAATAAGGTGGGGATTTAAAATAACAGAACATAATATTCCATCTTCAATCTAAAAATTTATTAGCTTACTCAGTACTCATTTTACTTGTAGAAATGCAAACAAGTACATATACTGTACTAATCACTAACAATATTTATGATAGATGGTATTTTTTCAGAGTCAGTTCACTTTTTAACTAAGCCTTCATCATAGTCATTGTCCGCATTCTGTGATAAATATTTCTTCCGCAACTGTTGATGTCGATAAGTATTTGGGCGATAACTCTTAGTAGGACCATCGGTGTCTTCAAAGGGGTATGAACTGCGTTTTCCAAACCTGTTTGTTAGAAAAAGATATTCAAAAAATACAAGTAGATTTTGCAGAAGTATCTCAATTTTGTTTTTAGGATAAATCAATATTTTTCTATATTATATAATTATAGTATAGAGCCGCATACTGACTACTTTACTGCAATCCATGGTATTCACGATGTTCATGTTATTCTTTTTGACAAGTGATAGATCCGGGAATAGACTTTTCCGAACACCTGTGGGTCATCTTTAATCAGTTTAGTGGAAGCCAGAATGATTCCGCAGATAATTCAAAACACAACAGGCCAAAAGTACTGTTATTATAAACTCAACGGCAGTAGTGAAATATTCACACAAAAGTACATGAACCAAAAGAGATCAGCTTTATGAGATTAGGAAACTTGTAAGTTGGGATGACACACCTTGATATTAAGGGTTATTCGAGTTTCATCATTCAATTTGACCAGAAAGATGCTTCGGGATTGAATTTAGCCTACTCTACCAAATTTTTAAGAGATTTGTATGAACTTCTGCTATTTTAACTTGAAAATATTTAAATCCATCTACTTTTTAACCATTTTTGAACTCAGCTTGATGAACTTAAGCGTGTTATTCTTTGGTAACTACTTTGGTAACTACTGCGTTTACCACTGCTTAATGTGACTAAATAAAACTGGAACCCAATCAGCAATTAATTTCGTGATTTAGTCTGATAAGAATCCAAGTGAAACACCTTCAGAACATTTGTTAAAAGCTGCTACTGACATAATCCAAATTATATGTTTTATTTTATTCACATAAATGATAAATCAACGGGGAAATATTTAGTTTTCAATAATGGAAAATAAATTATTGGTCAGCGGTATTCCAGTTTCAGTTATGACTCACAGTATTTGTAATATAACAGAATTAGTTGAAATAAAAGAAACTTGGTTGTACAAGGTATGGTTATGTAAGCTTACGATGTGATTACTAAGTCCTCCTGCTGCATCAGTCTGAAGAACACCATAACATTTTATGGATGAAATAAGGAAAAAGAATTACTGAAGTTTAGGAGTGTTTCATGGACCTGATTAGTTCAACCAGTGAAGATGAATAATTAGTTGTTAAAAGGAAACTAGATATTGATGTAAATGACGTGTAAGAACTGAAACAATGAGTGACATGCTTTTTCCCAGATCAGAAGAGTGTTTTTAAAAGGGTTGCATTATAACGCTTTTCGACAAACCAACCTGTTCGAGTAAGTAAAGAAGAAGGAAAGAATGCCGCTTGTTGCATGGAGTCACACGTAATAGACACTAATCGTACAATGGTCAAAAACCGTGTCTAGAAACTTAACCATCCATCATAGGTGATGAGAACCTATCATCTTCAAATTCCTCAGCATGTTGCTTTAATAACAGTGAAACCAGAACCTAATATACTGGAGAAGCTAGGAAACTACTCTGTTTTTCCACGACCCATGATAAAATTTTGATATCGTGCTGCTCAGTGTGATACTGACTTTGACCTGTTATTTTACTACTCTTTATTTAAGTGCTAATCTATGAATTTTTTAATTTACTAGTCTGTCTGTTTTCGAAATCTGGCAACATTACTTATTATGCAGTTTGTATTCTAAGAACTAGTCAGTTGTACATGTTACGGTAGGTTATCGCAAAATCATGGTATTTAAAGTAGCCTGATAAAAATTAATTGGAAATATGTATTTCAGCAAATTTTCGTCTTCTCGATCAGTCAATGAGTATATTCTGTTACATAAAAGATGTCTGAAAAATCCTAGTTACTTTCAAGCTTATCTATAAAAATCACCAGAAAAGGAGAACGTTCACACATCTGGAGGACGCAATCAAACTGCTGGAAATTTTAAATCCTCTGTAACTCAAAAAAATTTCAAAGTCTATGGAGTTAACAAACTAAAAGACAGTCAACAACTAATTTGACCGAACTGTAACAGCAGTCAAACGGTCTCTGGACAGTCTCTTCTTGTTAGTGAGTTCATAAATGGCATGCATTTATATTTCCAGGTTACCTAAAACAATTCACTAGTAATCGTAAATTATCGTGTTGGAATTTAAATGAGTAAAATGTTCAGTGTCATTTCGGTGTGTATCAGATACAGGAATGAGATAAATTGGTTGGAATGCTGATAGATTTCTATTGCGTTTGATATTCCTCATGGCCAAATGTGGGAAAATCTAAAAAAGTCTTAAGAAACATTTTGCAGCTACGAAAATGTTGAAATAGTTCGGAACTCATCAGCGATGCAAATCTGAGTCCACAATAAAATCTTTGTCACTTACATGTAAACTGATAAATGAGGATGGAGTTTGTGGCCATCTTGTGGAGGGTAGCGAATCGTGAAGTGAAGAATAGCGGCAGAAAAAAATGGCTGTCAACTGACTGCACTGTATAAAAGTCAAACCATACAATGAACATACTTAAATTGGAAATGTGATTCCGTCTTTGTGACTAACTGGTGACAAATTCTGAGCAAAACCGACGACATTAAAGAATATTTATTGCATAGCTTATGAGTATTGTCGAAATATCCCATAATACTACAGCATGGCTTTACAATACTTTCCCTTTTTTAGTGGCTTTATATATGACATCAATCTGTAATGGAAGTTGCCCTAAGACGCAATCACATAAATTACTTGTTGTAAACGTAAAACACGGTGGGGAGATTTTTATTGATTTATTAGATTTATCACACAGTGTAACAGTTTTGTTTGCTGGATTACGTTTCGGATATAACTTATTGTCCATAGTAATATCAAGGTGACTGACTATGTAATGAATAAAGGAAAGATGTTTTCTTAGTTGCTTTCCAGTGATAATAATCGTGTTGCTCTCATTTAAATGCAAAATAAACTGTGAAGTGTTTAAACCAGTTGTTAAATGCAAGCATAATTTAAGTGAGAGGTCCGGAGAATTGATAGGGAGTGGAAATAGAAATATGTCCTTTCTGTGGAGGGAGATGCGTAAGCGATTCCTCAAAGAATACAGGTCCATAAACTACTTTTTGTGACTTCTTTCAGAACCTAACAATTCATCTGTCCTTACCTCTTTGTGATGAAAAACAGCATGAAAGTATTTTTGAACAACGAACGGTTAGTCTAGTCACACGGTTAGGAAAGAATATCTACATATCCCTTCTATAAAACTCCATCATACATGTAAATCTGGAGTCACATCGTTTTAGAATTCACAAATTCCTTCAATACCGATCTGAAAGACAACGTTTGCGTTATCTATGTGTGGTAGGGTGAATTCACTAAACAGAACTAATCTTCTATGCTGATATGTGTATGGATATGGATAGTAGTCTGTAATGAACGATCTCCTGAGCACTTCCAATGCTGCTCATTAATGACTAAAATCCATTCTAGGTTGTGAAACATGTTGTATGTTCCCCTTCCTCGATATTATACTAACCAAGAAAATAGAAGAATTCTACCCATAGATCAGTTCACGGAAAACCAATGTGGAGTGAACAGTTTATCAACTTCTAAAGATATACCTCTCTTATTAGCAAATGAACCTTGTACATTACGTTATTTCCAAGGATTTGGAAGATCTGTTTAGAAGATACACTAAGTAATAAGATGAAATTTTTACTCAACTTCCTGCTAGAAATCAGTAATCAGCTTTGATTCATTGACCCAGACATAAAAAAAAACCAAAAATTCCAAATTTTTCAACCATCTCAAAAGAAGCTTTTTCTATAAATCCGGAAAATCATAGGTAACAATGTAGCCGTTATCCTCAAAAGTTGCCTATCAGTACTGTTGGGGAAAATTTTTCACGAAGCTAGCTTGATAATCATCAGGTTACCTATGCTGCGGAGAGAGAAAGAATGTCTACAGTTATATCCTTGAACACTCCTTTATCACCAAACATCTGGTCATTTTTGGCATTCCCTCCGAAGTGATTTACAGAATCTCCTATCAAATTTCAAAGAACTTCAGTTACATGATATTGACATGGCCGAATCACTGGCAATTAGAAGCTATGAACCTGACCTTTGTGTTAAAAGCAATGCGTGTGCCCATTAGCCTTACTGAGACCAGGGTAGAATTTTCATTATCTTTATAGACAACCTTGAAATATCCTATCGGTGATTATGGTAACTACAAAACCCTGTGAATCAAATGATTTGAAATACTATTGTACTGCTTTACTAACTGAACCCTTGAAAGAAAAATCACTTTCCTTGTTATGTTCTATGACTTTCTGTAGTCTTGCAAACTTCACCACAGATATGATATTAATTTTCATATGACTGTTCATCTCTTCAAGTCTCCGATGGTGAAGCGTGCATTTTATTTTACTAAGAAATTTTAATAAATATTGCATAACACCTCCGTTTTTCAAATCTCACCTTTCTTTATTCGCTTTAATTCAGCTCTTTTTGATTGGGCAACAACTTTACAAAACTCGTTTCTAGTAACTGACGGGTTTTAGCCGCTTTCGATAAAAATGAATTAGATTTTGTTTGATTTTAGGACTGACATAAATACATTGGAGATTCTAGTCACCGTTTTCATCCTATGACTGTGTGCATGCATACATAGTCATGGAAATCAAAGAACCATTTCGCCTACCACATGTAAGGAGGAGGAAATTAAACTTTGAAGATGATGTCAAGTAGAGGTTAGTTTTCTTACCATTATCCAATCAAAGAATATGTTTCCTCATTCATTCCCATATTTTTCATTTCCGTAAATATATATACATTTGGATTTTGAGAGAGTTGTGGAGATTTGGAAATATTTCAAGTTGTTATTCACCGTAGACTTACATTAGTTGGAGGAACAAAGGAAACCTGGGAGCACTGGACAGCTGTTTCGTCCTAGTGCTGTCCAGTGCTCCCAGGTTTCCTTTGTTCCTCCAACTGATGTCAGTCTACGGTGAATAACAACTTGAAATATATACATTTGTTCAATCCGTTACACTACCTTCAGTTGTGTGACTTTTATTTTTGGACAGAAGTTTTACAAGTTTATAACTTAAAGTAGT